GGAACCAATTTGTGATTAAACTGGTTCACTGCAACAGTGCGACAATACCAAATGTCTAATTGTGTGGCCTGCGCAGCTGGACGACCTAGAATGTATACTGAGCCCGCTCCTTTGATTCGATCTGATGTTTGGGTTTGTGCGTTTGTGCTATGGTCAGACTTAGAACCCATGTCATAATGGTAGGAGAACAACAACCCCTGATTGACAGCATCTCCGCACGAGTAAAGCGCAGCGCATTTGATTTTACCACAAATTCACGCACTTATATTGACAGCATCGGTGTTCCTGCCCGGTAAGTTCCAGACCAATACAAACTGGTGGACCAGGTTGCTGCAGGTTTTGGAGTATTTTCCTATGGATAACACCCAACAAACATGTAGACAGAATCAATTATATTCATTATAATGTGCTGAGCTTAACTAATTTAACTAGAGATGCAATTGAAGGTTTGTGCTATTTTTGGAGGTCTCTGTTGTGTCTTTGTGCCAAATCACACAGCGCCTGATGGAACGGTGACCAAGACGCTGGTAGGACTGAAGGCCGTGAGTAAAACCATGCAGGAGCAGTCCGGGGGAGTCCAACCCCCTGGACGTAAAACGACCGTGGAACTTCAACTTTCCAGTGTTTAGTGAATAAAGCCTAATCTTTTCTGGGTGTGCCGAAATGTGAGACTGTAGGCGCCTTCCTGATTGATGTACCAATTTACAGCTGAAACGCCACACTGAAGCCTGAGATCTTCACATTTCGTTGTTTGCATTTTCTCTTTTTAAGTATTGTCTAACATTTCTTCATATTAAAGTTTATCTTATTAACTTTTGGTTTACTGAATCTATTACCTAACACTTTAGGCATTTTGCACTTTTGTAACTATTATTCGGCTTATTTTGTTGAGATTACAGTATTACCTTAACATTTTGCTCACTGTACATTTTATCATTCTTTAACATTTTACTAATAAATTTTTAAATTATATTACCATTACTCATTTTTAACATTTTATTAATGTCACAGTTTATTAACATTCACATATTATTTGAAAAAAATGCACTCATTTATAGTTCATTAACACTCACATTTTCTTCTAACAATTAAACGTCCTTTAACATTTTATTTATTTTTTTTATGTTATTGTTTAGCCTGTAAGAGGGACATTGTGATTTCGGTCCGCCGCCTTCGGAGGCGTGGGGTGCTCTATCTGTTTTACCCCCAACAATAAAATGACATGAAAGACAACAGCAAAGTTTGAAGACGGGTCAACATCGGTAATGAGCCTCGGGGGATGTTTCCAGATAGGGGCAATGTCAACTCAGGATGGAGAGCCCTCTTAAGTTGTGTGGTCTCTTTGAGACCAAAAGGGGGAGTTGTTGAGGCACTTAGGTCAAGGTCAAATACACACATATGCTTCTACACATTACACTCTCATACTTTCACACAAAGGCCTTTGTATTTGTAACAGATACAGAAACTGAATCATCTCCTCACTCCCATCTCCAAGCAAATAGAGATTTAGGCGACGCAGGACATCGGATGACCACTGGGCGTGTTCTTAGATCAAGCAACGAATCTTCCCGTTTTTTAAAACACATTCTGTATAGACTCGGGGCCCCTGGTTTTCAATTCTAGTCTGTGATGGTAAGCGTCTTTTTTTTTAGCGCTAAAAAAGAATAAAAAACGTAAAGTCTGATTGCTTTGTGTTGGCTGATTTGCTGCGTGCGCTTGCACGTTTTTGGTCTATTTAGAATAAATGATGTTTTTCACAACAATAGTAATAGAGAGAACAATATAAACTAAAGATACTTTTTTTTTACTTTCTCTACAATAAATTCAATGCAAACAATTCGCTGATGTTTCATAGGGGACAACACGCTGTGAGGGTTTTCTTTTTTATTCCAAGCAGAAACATATCTAAACTCTAAAAAAAGCTAAACAAAAACAAAAATCAAATGGAAATCAAAAAAGAATATAATAAACATTGGTCATCACAATTTTATTTTAAAAACAAACCCCAACAAACAAGTACATTAAACTGAAAATGAAAAATTTGAACACATTAAGAAAATTCTGGTATTTCATACAACACAAAGAAAATGTTGTTAATTCTATAGTCTAAATATTTTCTGTTTGCATTACAAGCCTCAGTGATTCAGAGAGTAAATGGTGGATCTGAAGTTTGGGTCAGGTTATAATTTCTGTTAAACATTTCATGCTGCAAGCATTCCAACAGCAGACTAGATCAACGGATGGGAAAATCTTTTAATGTGAACTTCCTCATCCTCTGAGCTGTGCAGCAGTTCTGTCTTCTTCGTCTGTTTTCTTCTTTCCTGAAATATGTATTTTAAAATCCTAAAGTTAAACAACCTGCTGTTTTTACACAACAGAAAATACAATATCAGAAATATTAATGGAAATGATTTGTACAGTTAGAGCACATTTTCTTTATTTTAAATTAAATCTTTTCTCAGATCTCTGATTTTGAAACTAATTAGACAACAAAGTTAAATAAACTACAAGAAAATATGCTTATTAAACAGTAAAAAGGAGCAATCAAGAATAAAGTGAAGCACCAATAACTAAGTAAACAATGCAGTGATTATTAGGAGAAGTAATATTACAGGTTAGTATTAATATGCATTTTCAGAAACAAATGTTGGCTGAGCGCTTTGCATTCTGGGAGTTTATTTTGTTTCTTTTCTCTTATTTTAACACCAATCAGATTCTGGATAAACTTTATTGGTCATTTTTCCTGCACAAACAGGAGATTTTATTTTGCTTTCAACTGTTCACACCATATAACATCTCCTTGGTGTAGCATTTGCCTTCATTCTCCATCATGTTGATCTTTTTGATCAGATCAGTAACTTGTGATCGATCTTTATTTTGATGGTTATTGAACACATGGTATCTTCCTCCACACTCTCTGATCAGATTCTTACAGGCATCATCACAATGATCTTTAACGTATTGTTCAATGGAGATCTCATCATGTTCCAGTGTATCTCCTCTGGTAAACAGGACGATGGTAAACTTCTTATAATTTTCTCCCAAAACTTCCTGAATCAGTTTCAGTGTCTTGTGTCTTCTATAGAGAATCTGCCGATCGGTAAAACCTGCAGGAAGACATGAGGACCTGGATGCACCAGACTGATACATTCCCTTATCTCTTCATTAACCTGACTCAAGGACATGTTGGTGTCAAACAGACCAGGAGTGTCAACAACATCAACATGGCGACCGTCTATCACACATTCAGCTTTCTCACAGCTTCTAGTAACTGACTGTGGAGAAACTCCAGATTTAAACAGTTTTCTTCTCAGGATGGTGTTTCCTGATGAACTCTTCCCCTGCCAGTTTTCCCAATCAGAACGATCCGGAGACGCTCTGGATTATCTGGGAAATTACAGAAAAAATAATATGAATATTACATTAAATTAAATGAAAAGTGCATCAAGCTTAAACCTTTAGATGTAATAATTAACTGTAAACTGAGGAATTGGTCTCTGTCTCATAAAATCATTAAGTTTTCTGATGTGAGCTGGGGAATGATTGAGTTCTGCAGCTTTAGATGAGTCTCTTCTCAACTCACCTGAGTTAAATAATAAGGCAGGATGCTGAGGAAATGATTCAGTTGTTTGACTGTGTTGGAACAGAGAGCCATCTAAGAGTTTCATCACAGCCTAACCCACCGGCCCATCCCCGCTCTGAGCAACAGCTTTATTGCTCCTTGATGACCGTAAATGGTAAATCAGTAATGACACAATCAGCAAAAGTCTTTGTCTAGCCTGCAGAGATCAGCAGGAACCAGCCATGAATGAATGAATGGATGACCTTTGACCCCAAGAGGGTCTCTCCTCCTGAGGACGGCTCAGGAGTATCACTGGTTATAAAGCATGTCACAGCAAGACGGCTAAAAGCAGCTGCTGCATTTTATTCTGTTTAATTCCAGTCATAAAAATGGAAAACATGACCTACAAACTGTTCGTCACTTCAGCTTTAGATTATACATCGGCTCAACATTAGGTGGTATCAGAACGCTATCTCTGATTAAAGCTTCAACAGTTAAGGAATAGAAACATGATAGTCACATGCGTCATGTGATCAGAATTTTGATTAGCTTCCTTACTATGTTGAGAATATAATTTGTTCTTTTATCCTGGTTCTGTTCTTCACATGTTGGTTCAGATTCATTTTTTAATGAGGGCGTGGCTAGTTCCTGTCAGTCATTCTGAGGCTGACAGACCATAACACTGAAGTAAAAAAGTTGGTTTGTATCATTTCCTGCAGACAGTCTGTGATTAATATGGATCCCTGAACACTGAGAGATTTAGAAACATTTTCTAGTGTCTTAATCAAAAATTTGACCATCAGAAGTGTCAGAAAATGAGAATCTGCTACAGTGTACAACAGATTATTTTAGATGTTGAGTGTTTATTTTTTCTTCATGTGTTCTCATGCTAATGATTAAGTTGTGTAAAAACTTTCTTTCTTACCTTCAGAGAATCTTTTCTCCTTCCCTTCCAACAGATCTGATGTGTCCTTTTGGTTTTTCTCCACAATATTCTCAATTATCTCCATTAACTGTTCATGGCCTCCAGAGTCAGCTGAAAACATATAGCATCTTTCTTCACAGTGATTAATAAGTTTTTTAGTGTCAGGATATCCTATATCATTCTCTTGTGTTGTGATGACCGCTGAGTGTTTGAGAGCACATCGACCAAACAGCCTCAAGGTGGCAACCATTGCATTTCTTTGGTCCTTATCGAAATCTGAAGGATTCACCAACAGCAGCAGAACATTTGGTCCAGGATGACAAAGATCCCAGCAGCTCTTTACCTCTGCTTTCCTTTTCTCAGTTGACATACTGAACAGGTCAGGAAATGTCACCATAGTTACTGGTTTTCCTGTCCACTTTCCACAGTGAGCCACACATTGGGAAGGAGGTTTTTGGATGAAAAGTTCTTGATTTCTGATCATCTGCTTAACAAGTTCAGTCCTTTATTCTCTTTTCTCCGAGTAGTACAATCCTAAAAGAAACTGTCACACCACAAAGAAAGAAATGAAATGTTAAAACAATCATATTGCAACACAGAATGTTCCTGCATTCAGTTGGTGATTAATATGAAAATCACCAGCATATCAACAACATGCTGAAAAAACTCAAAACAAACTGAAATCACATTTGTGTCTCATTTAAATGAGGGCAGGCCAGTCTGTGTTGTAACATTCATAAACGGTGTAATTCAAAGTGTGTTATCTTAAATAACAGCTGTTATTAAGATAATGTGATTCATTTTCTTTGTAGTTGTCAGGACTCCAGCTGCAGCTGTTAAGATGGGCTTCAACTGCCTGATTATTTTAGAGGTCAATTTAGAAAACATTATAATATTCTGCAAAGCAGTTCAGGCTGTAATTTAGGTCACTGGTAAACCGTCCTGATGACTCTTTCTTTCTATCTTCTTACTCAAGTCAATATAGCACAGACCTCTGCTGGTTCTTTAGTTTATGGGTAAATAATGTAAATTGTTCAAATGGTCAACACCGTCGGTCCCTGCAGTTGACATGTGGATGTCAAAAGTTTCTGCTGTTATTCCAGTTGAAAAGTTGAGTTGTGATCTTAATCACATATTGAAGAAGTTTAGACCACTACATTTTTAAATGTAAATTATAAAATTAAGTTGGTAGCACTGTGTTGCCCTGCGACAGACTGGTGACCCGTCCAGATGCCCCCGCCTCTCGCTCAAAACGTAGCTAGAGAGGCAGCAGCACCTCCTGACCCACTGGGGACAAGGTGTCAGAGCATGGAAGGATGGATTATGAAATTATAACTCTCTTGAGTTTCTTTTTCTATTGTTCAGTTATTTAATGCTGTAAAAATATGCACAACCACTACAACTACTACTAAAAAATCACAATAATTTTCGCAAAGAAAACAAAGCATATTTTGAGTAATGTTTATTAATATAGCAGCTTTCAGTCAAAATTAACTCAAATAGCTAAAGCAGACATTAAAAACAACATACATTAAAAAACACCAACAGACTATTATTAAACAGGTAAAAAAAATTATATAAGGTGAAAAATATATCAAAATAAACTAGTCTAAGAGTTGGCAACAGCAAATAGAAAGGTTTTATACCTCCTGTAGTAAACAGGCAGCTGATTCCAGATTGCACATAAAATCTAGTTGAAAAGTTGAGTTCTGACTCCTGGAACAGTTAATAGGTTTGATTCACATGATCTTAAAGGTTAGAATATAACCTTTATAACTGAAAAAATCAGAGAGGCAGTTTTTACTAGTAAGTGCTTAATAAATCATTAATTTGGAGATTTTAAACTCTGTTCTTTGAGCACAGGTCGCCAGAGCGACAACCTCAGAACGGGACTAATGTGCTGATCTCTTTTTGATTTGTAAGAAATGTCACAGCACCACTCTGAAGAAACTGCTTCATTGGTTTGTTGACTATTCAGTGAAAACAAAGTCACAATAATGGAATCTGCAAAAACCAAAGGCATGAACTCGTTTTCAGTATCTTGACATGAGTCATCTAATTCTGGCAATATTTAGGTGGTAATTTGCTGTCTTTCTAAATTTGGTCAGTGACATGCAGAAAAATAATATATGATGATAAAATACATTATATTGCTATTTTCACCCTGTGGTTTGCACTATAAAGATCCTATTTTTCATTTAGCTTAACCAATTCTGATTATTTTTTCTTCAGAATTGCAGAATTTTCCCATGTTCCGATTCAAATGCTCGCAGTGGCGGAGCCAGAGGGGGGCCGGGGTGGCACTTGCCACCCCCAACAGAGACCTGGCCCCCCTACTGCCACCCCACTGGAAATGGTTATTTTAAAATATAATACTTATGAGATCGGCAAAGATTTGCCAGGAAAACTGTACTTCCGACTGTCCCTGAAGGCAGCCCGATGCCCGACTGTTCATTGGTTAAACTGACATGTTGGTTCCTGCTTGATCCAAAACACATAAACGGCTTTAGAGTTACACCGTCAGGAGTTCTGCAGGTATTTCCAACATTTTACCGCTCAGCAGTAACCGCTGTTACCTTCCTAATGAGAGGCGGCTCTTGTCCATACATTTCTAAAAAGAAACAAAATGGTTGTGTACCGCTACATAGTGCCTCGTTTATTATATTAGCCATGCTAGTGCTGGTAGATCGTGTTTTAGACAGATTCTTTAACATATGTTTTAGTGACATGCTGCCCTCTAATGTTTTATCTCCCAGCTCTTGCTTGAAATGTGTGGTAAGAATATGAGAAAAACCATTAATATAATGACTGAAATGTAAGTAGGCTATGTCATATGAAAGCTTTGAATTATAACCTCACTCGTTATATTAATTCATTTTAATTAATGTATTTTTAATTAGTATTTTAGCTAGCTACAGAAACTAAAAACTATAGTTTAAATAATAGTTAAAATAGTGTCTCTGCCAAACAGTCATGGAGTCTAAATACCAGGCTCTTATTTTGTGTAGAGCCAAAATGAAGAGAAAAGGGAAAATCTCCCAGTTCTTCTTAAAGAGGCAAAAACCAGACCAGACCAGGACCAGACAGACGGATTTACTATAGTCGTAGTCCAAACTATGTTTGGCATGTGGACGGCTACGATAAGCTCAAACCATTTGGAATTGGGATCAATGGTTGCATTGACGGTTTTTCCAGAAGGCTAATATGGCTTGAGGCCTACAAAACAAATAATGATCCAAGAGTCATTGCTGGATACTTCATGGATGCAGTGATTAAAGCTGAGGGTTGTCCTGAAAGACTTAGAGTGGATTTAAAGGTTGGACTTTGGATTTAGGATCATATTTAACTGGGAGCTGGAGCACACTGTTATTCTAAGGAGGCTTGTCTGCAACTGCTCCGGTATCTCATAATTATGACTTTGAAAGTCAAAATTATGACTTCCAGTTGGTCTTTTTTTTTTTCATGGCGGAAATGGGCTTCCATAATAAACAGCGGCTCATGAAGTCCAGAAATATGGACCAAGTAGTTGCTTGGTTTGTATTCACGCTAGAAGCGAATTGTACCAACGTTTATTTGGAAATGGACCAAGATCACACCAAGGCCTGCACCAGGATTTGCTTGCATATTCACATCTGCAGAAAAAGTCTTAATGTGGAAACAAACTGGTCTTTTTAAAGTGGATCAAATGTGTCAGGTGTGAATACACTCTGAAACTCAGGTGAAAAATAGACCACAAAATTTTCTATTTTCATAATTGCAAGTGTCTCATAAAAGTTTACCTTTGCAAAATGCCTTTCTACACCTGTGTGCTCTTTACTGTTACCAGACCATCAGGAATGTCAGTAAAACATTTTAAGAATTCAAAGTTTAGTATTGATCATATATATATACAGTGGAGCCCCAGCATTTGGGAGGGTTACAGATCACAGCTGCCATAAAAAGCTGAAATATGCTTCTGAGTCTTAAGTCTTATTTATTAAATATATTTTTGATTATTTAAACACCAAACATACCTCAGTATGCAATACATGAACATGAGCAACCATCTTAGCGCTACAGCAGAAGCTAACCTCTGCACACCTGAATGAAAACTGCAATTTTACAAACACAGACTTTCACCAAAATGAAGTTTTAAATATTAGTAAGATTCTAAAAGGGAATATTTTTTATGTTTGGTTTGTCTAAATGAAAATTTATGATTTATCAAAAAAATGGAAAATTAACTTACTGCCATCTTTAGGAAGCTGCAGAGGAATCTGCTCAGTTGTTTGAGAAGGATCTGTGAAAATACACAAACTTGAAGCTTAAATTTTATCATTTAAAAAAATATACTGACAAACATTATTACTTACTTTTAACAACAGCATGGAGTGAAACACCAGGAGGCTCCTCTTCCACAAACTCATAAACGCTCACATGTTCTTCATTGTTCTCTTCATTATTTGATCAAACTGAATCAGCAGCTCTTGAGGTTCAACCATCATTTGGAATAAATATCTGTATCTACACTCTGTGATCAGATTCCTTATCGGATGATTCTTCATCTGTTCTTTCTTTAATATTGAACCTTCCTGTTTGGGATTCAGGATCATTACCAGTGAATGACTAAATGATTCATCATTGAAATGGTAAAGTGCTTGGTGGATGCTGTGCTTTTCTTCCTCAGTGAAGTCTTCAGGCTGAAGAACCAACAGGAACACATGAGGTCCAGGATGAGAGGCTGCAGCACATCCCTAATAAACTCTGTAATGCTGTCCGCTGTGGGGAACTGCAGATCTGGAGTGTTGATAACAGATATTTTCCTGTTTCTCACTGATCCAGTGATTTTGATAAAGGAGTTTGGTTTCGTGGTGAAACTTTTCCCTCCCAGTATGAGGGTCCTAACTAGATTTCTGGGACCAGTTGCCTCCCAGTAGGACAACCCTCAGTTCAGGTTCAGACACTGGAGCAAAGACACAGAGAAAAAGACAAAATGAGAACATAATGAAAAATGAAGGAACTTCTCTATTTTATTTAAAATCTTACTGTCTTAATCATGAAGAATTATCAAACACAACTACTTTATGTTTCTGTTTTGTTATGATTCTGTTTTGATAACTGAGTATTTCTTTTCTCATTCAAACTTAGACTCACAGGAAGGAGGTATGAGTTCATTGCTGTGGCTTCGCTTCAGAGGTGATGTAACTGTAAATAGAGACAAATACATTTATTTAACCAGAATGAGAAATCATCTAATTTTCATGTTAAAGACTATCCCCTATCTCTCAGGGTTTTAATGGATCCATAAGTAAAAAATAGAAGCAATTAATGATGATGACATAACCAACACAAAATACACATTTCATTGCATTATTTAAAAATTATAATAGAAAGCAGCAAACATAAATGCTGACATGCAAACTTTACATTGCCGCAGACATATTACGGAGGCCTTTTTCCTGCCTATTGAAGTTCTCTTTATGCAGCTAACTACAGTAATTATAGTTCAATTATTATAAAAACTGTTGATGCATTTTCAGGAGGGATTTAAAAACCTCAAGATGGACATTTGCAAGTCAAATCTTCCTAACAAGTAATGTCTCATCTTACTGTGTCTCACTGGGTAACTTAGGTTTATTTCTATCATGTGTTTGGATTAATCGAGAAATTTAATAGAGTTATAACACAGTCAAACAAGGTTGACTTCAATTTTCCAAGAAGAATGGCAATAATTGTTTGTATGTTTCCTCTGCTAGCAAACTGGTGTTTTTTAGGACGCACATTGTTTTGAGTAACATGGACCAGTTTGTCTAAAGTAAAGGTGAATACAAATCAAAGTTGAGAAACTTTCATGGTCAAACAGACACTGTTGAAAAAAACCTTTTTTAAAAAATAAGATTTTAAAGTTTCTGATCACACTGTCATGGAGATCAGCAGAGGAAATCAAAGTCAGATAAGTTGGACTCACAATATGCTGGCATAGGTTTGATAATGCTGCTTTGACTCATGGGCTCAAAATCTGCAAAGATAAAGAACCAAATACAATCAGAAAATCAAATAAATAAAAAATCACTTAAAATCTAAAAACCTAAAGTTTTCCAAAAGCTGGGAAATCAAACAAGTCCAATAAGAAAAGTTTTAATAGCTGCTGTCAAACAAAACAAGACTATATGAAACTAAAAACCAGAAGATCAGGAACAGTTGTTTCTCTGTTCAATCCTTGCAGGTTTCTTTGTGAAAACATGCAAGAATCTGCATGTGAAGCTTTCATAAAGAGAATGAAGCAAACATTTGTTTTTAACAATACTTTCATGAACATTTCCAGGACCAGAAACTAAAGTCTCAGGTCAGAGACATTTCTCTCTAGTGGCTTTGATTCCTGCAGCAGTGTCTTAAAGGTCTGACTAACAAACTGGGGGCCACCAGGAATCTTGGGCCCCATGACTAAAAAGATAAATTGGGGCCCCCCATGTTACAATTTCTTGAGTCTATTTGACCCCAAAAAACACATCAGATGTTAAAGGCTTGCAACTGCCTTGCTGCCTTTGGATTTGAGCAATATATTTACTGCTAATGCATTTTACATGCAACAGGCCGCATGCAGTATGCAAATAGGTTCCTTAAATTTTTTCTCTAAGTTTTAATTTACTGAAATGTCTCTCCCCATGAACATGAGTCATAGGCAACATGAAAAATACACATGAAGCAAACCAGACTGAGTTGCATTTTATTCAAGCAAGCTGCAGTAAAATAACTTTAATAAAAAATATGTTTTCTCCATATTTGTTAAAGCTGTCATGACAGACAACCATGAGATTATCTGTCTCACAGTTTGCTATGAGACAATAATCTGTGTAAAAATCAATCTCCACCTCCTCCCTGAACCACTATTACTGGCTAAAGTAATGCACCGTTCCGACCGAAATAACCAATCAGAACCAGGAGGAGGGTCTCAGTGCTGTTAATCAACTCACTGCTAAATGTGCTAATGGTGGAGAAACAATTTATTGTTACAGGAAAACTGTTTATCTGCTGTCATTGGTAGCTATGCTAACTAAACTGAGCACTCACAACAGGCTATGCTAGCTGCAGCGTAGCACAGAGCAAGGGGAGGGTGATGAGCAGCCGCATGAGATTGTGATTGACAGCACTAAAACTCTCCTGTCTCTGATTGGTTGTTTCTTGATAGCACTGGGAGAAAGTAGAGGAAATAATTTTTTCACAAATTATCTCTCATATATACTGTCACAACATAAAATCAGTTTCAACAAATATGTAAAAAATATATATTTTTTTAATAAAAGTTATATACTGCAGCTTTAATTTCACTTAGGAGAATAACTAAGGGGGGACAGGGAACTTATAAGCTCTCTAATATTTTAGAAAATTTTGGTTTAACACAAACAAGCAACACACACTCAAGGACACACACTGGACCTGGTTATCAGTAAGGGTGTGACTATTTCCAATGTCTCTGTAACTGATGTCGCCTGTCGGATCACTTTGCTGTTATCTATGAAGGTTCTTTATTCTTTGACCACTTGGACAAACAGCTGCTGTCACAAAACGTTCTTTCACAGAAAACATTAATCAAATCTACTCTTCCTCCTCACCCTTAAGCTGTAATGATGTAGATCAGTTGGTAGATGATTTTCAGTCTAAAGTTTCATATATCATTGATTCTATTGCCCCAATTAAAGTAAAGGTTTGTCTGGTAGAAAGAAATCTCCATGGAGAAAAGAACAAACAGTTTCTGCAAGAGAACTCTGTCTCAGAGCAGAACGACAATGGCGTAAAACTCAACTTCACGTTCATAATGACATCTACAAAGAAAAACTACGTAACTATCACTTAACACTAAAACATGCAAGGGAGGCTTTCTTTGCAGATGTCATAAACAAAAACATCAATAATGCTCGAACTTTATTTGCAACAGTTGACAGGCTCACAAACCCTCCTGTGACGTTACCACCTGAACTCCAATCTAATGCTGATGTAATAAGTTTTCTGATTTCTTTTCAGAGAAAATCCAAAAAATCAGAGGATTAATCTGTACATCAACTTCAAAGCCAGAACCATTGCTGTACCAAAACAAAACAAATACAGGAAAAATGACCCATTTTCAACTAGTTAATTATAAAACCCTAGAAGAAATTATAAGTCAATTAAGTTCAAGCTCCTGCTGTCTGGACGTCCTTCCCTACATTTCTTTAAGAAAGTCCTGCCTGTTATTGCTGCAGATCTGATCCAAATCGTAAACTCATCGCTACATCAGGTGTTTTCCCCCAGGCTTTGAAAACAGCAGTCATCAAACCACTGTTAAAAAAGAACAACTGGACAAATCACTATTGCAGAATTACAGGCCGACCTCTGACCTCCCATTCATCAGCAAAGTTATTGAAAAAACTGTGTAAACAATTAAATAATGATAGCTTTGACATCATGATGACCACAGCACGGAGACTGGGCTAGTCAAAGTATTCAATGATATCCATATAAATACGGACTGTGGGAGAACCACAGTGCTGGTTCTGGTTCTGGTTCTGTTGGACCTCAGTGCAGCTTTTTGACATGACATTACTGAATGGACTGGAGAGTTGGGTTGGACTCTCGTTCGGTGCTCGACTGGTTTGAATCCTACATAAAGAACAGGGATTTTTCTTTCAATGGGAAACTTCTCATCAAAGAGGTCAAAGGTCACATGTGGGGTACCCCAAGGTTCAATCCTAGGACCCCTCTTATTTAATATTTATATTCTCCCACTAGCAGGTTAACAGGAAATATATATCACATAACTATGTGGATGATACTCAGCTCTACATTATGATGTCACCAGGTGACCTTTGACCCCATCAAACTGAATAAATGCTTAGAACAGATAAATGTGTGGATGTGCCAAAACTTCTCCAACTGAACAAAAACAAAACTGAAGTCATTATTTTTGGACCTAAAGAGGACAATCTAGAGTTATAGATCTAGCTATAGATCTAGAGTATAGATCTAGAGCTATAGATCTAGATATATATCTAGAGTTATAGATCTAGAGCTAGATCTAGAGTTATAGATCTAGAGCTATATCTATCTATAGCTATAAATAGATCTAGAGATCTAGATCTAGTTACAGATCTAGAGCTAGAGCTATAGATCTAGAGCTATAGATCTAGAGTTATAGATCTAGAGCTACAGATCTAGAGCTATAGATCTAGAGCTATAAATATAGAGCTATAGATCTAGAGCTACAAATATAGAGCTAGAGATCTAGTAGTTACAGATCTAGAGTTATAGATCTAGAGCTATAGATCTATAGTTATAGATCTATAGCTACTGATCTAGAGCTGTAGATATAGAGTCAATGCACAGCTACAGTTATTACAACTAAAAACTAGCGATCAGCCTGAAACCTGGGGAGTAGTGATGACCTCTGACCTGAACCTTGTGAGCCACATAAAGACATTACAAAATCAGCCTTCTCACCTGAAGAACATCTCCAGGATTAGAGGACTAATGTC